TTATTGAACGATTATCGAAAATATGTTAATTTTTTATTCCTTTGAAAATTGCTCAGGTTACGAAATGCCAATATAGTTCCAATGATGCCGCTTACGAATTTATAAAATATAATGTGTTTCCTTTGCAATTCAAGAAAAATCCATCGTCATATGAATATTTTAATTTTCGAATTTTGTATTTTTTGAAATATCAATTATCGTAATTGGCCCATATGTGGAATTGCACTTTTCATTCATCTCAATTATAGGCTCCAAACAGCACATAAATCCATTTATAAGTGTTCAATGTCACAGACTTTATTACAATTTTTTTTGTTTTAGACGTTTCGAATGCAAACTGCATCCATGATCACTAAATTTAAATTGAAAACAGTTGAAATGAATACAGGTAAATCTACTATTACGCCATTAAACCTTAACAACGTCAAAAAATACTTAATTGCTATGGCAATATAACTTCATCCCACAAGCGATCTAGATTGAAGTTGCCCATGTCTCCATTGACGTTTTTATGTTTTCAAATGTGAATGGCTTTTCTTATCAACCTATTGTTTCTGTTTCTTTCTGTGCTAACTATTTTATATTTGTTCCAATCAATTTCGTGGTTTACTTGGAGAATATGATCTGTAATCGCTGATTTATTAAAGCTGTTAAAAGAATCTTTTTTTGTTTCTAGTGTAGTGACTCTTTTTCTCATCTGCTTCTGTTTTGTGTTCATTGATGCGAGTACCAAGAGGTCTACTTGTTTCTCCTATGTAACTTTTATTACTATTGCTGCATGGAACTTGATATACCACGTTCGCTAAATGCGATCCTGTTTGACATTATCTTTAGGATGAATGAAAATATTTCGAAGTGTTTGCATGCATAGGTTTAAAGGCTACTTAGATACTGTATAAGTGGTATTTAATCCGAGTGGTTAATTTTCCGAATGGTCAAATTTCATCATTTTCCTAATTTTAATTTTCCTAATGAGATGAAACCTCCCATTGGATAACATTATAAAGACAATATTTCCGACATTTAATTTTCCGATCCAGGCAAAAATTAGGAAATAGGCAAATTAAATGATTAGGCAAAATTACCACTTTATCTTTTTTCTTCATTATTATTCTAATTTGCTCTGATACATTTTTCACATGGGGTATGGTTACTACCTTTTTTATTTCTGTCTTGTCCTTGTTTGTATCTGCTTTACGTTCAAAAAGTTCCTGCGTCTTTTTAATAGTCCATTTTGGATAACTGCATGTTTCTAATGCTATTTTGCTCTTCCTATTAACGTAGAAATTACCGACATTTTGTGTTCAAGAGGATGGTGTGATTGAAAGTTTAAATACTGATCTGTGTGGCTAGATTTTCTATATGATACAGTACATCTTATTGAACCATCCGAATTCCTCTTAGGTTGCGTTTCATCATCATCAGGGATGCAGTACGTGCGATGAGATCAAGGGCAGACATTTGCATTGAAAGGAATGGGGGTCATGTTGAAGGACACTGGGGCTAAAACAACTTTGAATGGACATTGGGATTTAAAAGGGGTGTTAAATATGATATGTTTAATTTTAATTAAAATAAATGAGTAAAAGAGTGATATCCTGATGTTTGTTGTTACTTATCACTTTGTTATGATGGTGAAATTGACTTGGCTGAAAGTGGTACAAACACTTTTCTGACATGGTCACTTAAATCCCTTAGAACTCAGTCATCCGTGAAGGAAAATAGACAACTTTGGTATCATAAGAAAGAGGACAATATAACCTATCAGATGGTAGCTGTGAAAATTTCCTATTATTATTCATATCTGAGAAATAAGCAATCTATTGCTGGTTTCCTTTTTTTTGGGGACACACTGTATTGTCCATTTTCCTATTAGTCAGGAATATTTAGGTGAAAATATTTCAAAAATATATAGAAGCAATTTTAAGGTGGATTTCAAAACTTCATACCATTCTTTTGAAAACCTGAAGTGGCACCAAGCAATCCATTGACTTTTTCGCCAAAAATCCAAGATGGCCGCCATGATGTATTGAAAAATCATAAAAATTGACTAAAGTTGTAATTTAATAAGTCAAAATAGTTGTATACTGATCAAACATGACTAATAATAGTACCTATTAGATGTTCATATGCAGTTAAAGTCACTGGATCATTTTTGTATGAAAACTGGAGTCCCACAAGGCTCAATTTTATGTCCGCTACTTTTTTGTCTAATGACTTGCATTGACCATGGCATTTGCACATAGCAGTGGATACTTATCCATTTTTGAAATGTAAGCACCCAGGACCACATTTCACCTTGCACCAATACTTGACCAATGCTTGGCATGCCTTGGCTGCTTGAGGAAGGGATGTTAATAGTGGCACCAATAGAGACATGTCATACTTCCAGCCCCATGTTGTGAACTCCTATACCAATTTTAGATGGAGATTGTACAGTTGCCCCCAAACAATACCACCTTGGTCAGCAAGTTCTTAAGATTTTCTTAGCAAGGCCTCCTTTTGTTGGTGGTATTCTGTCAATGACTGTATGGCCGTCACAGAACATTAGCCTTCGTGCTGCATTGATATCTATCTGGTTGCTGGTTCGATCATATAATAGAACAGTAAAACAGTCTAGGGACTGAATGGTCTGAATTTACAAAACCAGGTTTGTTGTAAGCATTTGTGCCACTCTTTTGTAGAAAAGCTGGAGTAACTTCCTTGAACACATTCCATAGCTTGAAGGCAGATCCTTTGCTATGGCCAAAGAATGATGCAGTTAATATAATTTAATATCTGTAATTTTTGAGGGGTTCGAAGGCAATCCACATTGACACTTATTGGGCCCTAATAATTATTATTATATCTTGGTTACCGCCATATTTGGCGAGCAATACCTCATTGGTATATTCCGTACTTTACATATTTTACACTCGAAGACAGAGCCAGAAACCCCTCCTTGGAGGAGCCCTGTGTTCTTTTGTGTGCACAGGTACACAGACATAAAGGTACACACCACAGCCTTTTATACGAGTCGTGAACCACTCAGTCAAACACCCAGAATTACATGACGCACAAACAAACTTGTCTGAACCGAGAATCAAACCCGGGACCAAACGATATAGGTTACCTTGACTCCGCCACTCTGTGGACTAATGCTGCAGCCATGGCAAGAACAACTACATCAGTATCTCCACTTCTGATTATGAAGTCTTTTTTTCCCTCTGAGGTCATCTGTTTTACATGAACAAAGAGTCTAGTGTCAACTTCTTCATGAGTACAAGGTTCAATCATTGCTGTATCTGGCAAGTGAGGAAATCACTGAACAGATTCCACAATAGTAGTTATCATTTGCTTGTCATTTACATCAACCTCAAAAATAGAGTTGGCCAGGAATGCTAACAGCTCAGTCTTGTTCTGGCCATTTCTTAGAAAGCCTAGCCAATTCTTGGGCATCGGATTCTCTGCATAAACCATCCAGTGCCACAATGAATCCTTGTCAGGGACTTCCCACTGTTTTGTTGGTAGACATCCCAGATAGCATCTAATCTTGAAACACCTTCCATAAGCTGCCTTAACTTGGGATGAGACATATTCTTGGAAGTTGGTAGCCACACCAGGACGCATCACATAGACCAGAAGGGTTCCATCTATTAAAATTGCATCTGCAGGTTTTTTCCAATACTTCAGATCCATCTGGCTTAGCTTCTCAACATTTAAGTAAGTCTGCTTCTTTGTAGGTCTCATGGCTCCGTGCTTAGCTAAGGATGGCCGGAACTCATGTTTTTCATGTTTGAAAAACTCCGACATGTCAACGTGTCTTGATTGGCATCCCGTCATCCCTAGCTAAGCACAGAGCCATGTGACCTACGACAGACTTACTTAAATGTCTAGAAACTGGTCCTGTCATCCAAAGTAAAGGTAGCTTATGGAAGGTGTTCCTAGATGTTGTCTGGAATGTTTACCTACAAAACAGTGAGAAGTCCCTAACAAAGATTCATCATGGCACTGGTGCTAGAAGGATAGTTTATGCAGAGAATGCGATGGCTAAGGATTGCCCAGCTTTTCTAACAATCAACGGAACAAGACTAGGCTGTTTGCATTCCTGGCCAATTCTATGTCTGAGTTTGATGTAAATGACAAGCAAATGATAACTTCTATTGGAGAATCTATTCAGTGCTTTCATCAATCGCCAGATACAGCAATGATTGGACCTTGTACTCATGAAGAAACTGACACGAGACTCTTTGTTCATATAAAACTTGACCTCAGAGGGTAAAAGACTTCACAATCAGAAGTTGAGATACTGATGTAGTTGCTCTTGCCATGGCTGCAGCATTTAAGGGCGCAATAAGTGTCAATCTGGATTGCCTTCGGACCTCTCAAAAATTACAGGTATTAAATTATATTATATTAGCTTCACCATTCTTTGGCCATAGCAAAAAATCTGCCTCAAGCTATGGAATGTGCTCATTGAAGTTACTCCAGCTTTTTAACAAGTGGTACAAATGGTTAGAACAAACCTTGCTCTGTCAGTTCAGGCCATTCAGTCCCTAGAAAACTTTATTGTGTTCTATTATATGATCGAACCAGCAACCAGATAGATATCAATACAGCACGAATGTTCTGTGATGGCCATATAGTAGAATACCACCAACAAAAGGAGGCCTTGCTCAGAAAATCTTAAGAACTTGCTAACCAAGGTGGTATTGTTTGAGGGCAACTGTACAATCTCCATCTAAAATTGGTAAAGGAGTTCACAACATGGGGCTGGAAGTATGACATGTCTCTACTGGTGCCACTATTGACATCCCTTCCTCAAGCAGCCAAGGCATGCCAAGCATTGGTCAAGTATGGGTGCAAGGTGAAATGTGGCCCTGGGTACACACATTACAAAAATGGATAAGTATCCACTGCTATGTGCAAATGCCATGGTCAATGCAAATCATTAGACAAAAAAAGTAGCGGACATAAAATTGAGCCTTGTGGGACTCCAGTTTTCATACAAAAATGATCCAATGAATTTAAATGCATATGAACAACTAATAGGTACTATTATTAGTCATGTTTGATCAGTATACAACTATTTTGACTTATCAAATTACAACTTTAGTCAATTTTTATGATTTTTCGATACATTGTGGCGGCCATCTTGGATTTTTGGTGAAAAAGTCAATGGATTGCTTGGTGCCACTTCAGGTTTTCAAAAGAATGGTATGAAGTTTTGAAATCCACCTTAAGATTGCTTCTATATATTTTTGAAATATTCTGTGAACTTATCTCCTATTCAAACCCGACTATATGAGATGTAGTTAACCAAACATTTGATAGGCGGTATATGCGTGTCTTGCTCGGCGGTAGGTTGTATATACACGGGTAGACTTTCACCTCGTGCGTGTCGGTATAATGGGTTTCGGTATAATGCGCGGACCCCCTGCTATCAGAGAGACGATAGCATTTCCTTGTGGCAATATACTACCACAATATCTAACATTATGCCAATTTTACACATGAACTCTCAATGATTGATGCAGTGCGTTTATACTATTAATGATTAGAATACAACCCATGGGGAAAATTGCCCCCTTCCTTTATTAATTTGTTCCACCATCATCAAAAATTACAATATACAATGTAGTATACAGTATGTAATGGAGACAATTCAAGCTCGAAACAGTTTACCGCACTATTGGTTAGAATATTTCTCCACCTAGCCGTTTTCATATCATTCTCTATAATTTTTTTTATTAAACTCTATATCATACTTTTAATTATGTATCGTATACAATAAAGAAATCAAAATATTCTGAGTGAATCGCAAAGCAAACACTGCATGGTTTTCTTCTCCGATTCGTACTCAAATGTACATTGAGAGTTGTGGGAGAATTGTATGAACCCCAGCTGGTGTGTTATATCTTACAAAAATCCAGAGTTTGCTTATTTTAGGGGTGCTTCAGAAACACAAATGGGAGAACTGTATGACAATAGACAAGGCTAGCTGGGGATATAGGAGGAACTCTGGACTCGCAGATTATCTCTCCACTCATGAACTTATCACAGAACTTGTAGAAACAGTCAGGTAATGCAAGGAATAAGATTATGTGCCCATTTTATATTTCATTTCAATCCTTTTGGGTTACTCAGTGAATCTACCATTTTTATAAGTAATTTGTTTTCACAGTCTAAAGAACAAAGCTTCTAGCAACCTTTGATAGAAATTGCGCATTGTCAACTCACATCATCCTTCAAATCGGGTTTTACTGTTACACTTATGGAAGGGAAATACTCTTAAATCGTGACACTGTTGGGGCCTCAATACAAACAGACCTCACCATTCACAACAATCAGCTATCTATTACATCTTTGTATCATTTATTGACATCTCACTCATTTGGTCTTACTCATTGATTTGGTCAACCACCCACCAGACTATCACTTCGCCTTTCTCTCGATCACTCGGCTGCACCTTCGCATGACAAACATCTTGATACCGATTTCACATCCCGCGTCTACCTTAATCAATAGGGAGGTTAAGTTACACGTTTTTGATAAATCGTGTGCGTGAACGTAATCACTTGCCCGTTAAGGTATAAAGGAAAATTATTGTATTAGTTCATTGGTAAAAAGAACCGACTGGAGGACAATTATCCATGGGGTCCATAATATTACACGTTCACGTACAAGACATATAACCTCCTAATCAGTATCGCCTCTTACAGTTGCGGTGGTAATCTGTTGATGAATGTGGCGCCCACCTATGACGGACGCATCATGCCAATCTATGAGGAACGTCTGAGAGACATGGGGAAGTGGCTCGTTGTCAATGGTGAAGCCATATTTAAAACCAAGCCATGGATTCATCAGAACGACACCGTCACAAAGGACATCTGGTTAGTTTGGGCAAAATGACAGTTAAGCCTTCTCTTTAACTCCCATTCATCCAATCGATACGTCTTAATTCAACACACAGGGGCCCGCCCCATAGGTCATAGATGGGCAGAAGGTAACTTATAGAATTGCGAAATTACAAAGGATATATTGCTTTCGAAGCGTAGTTCCTTTCTCTTCACAAACTGCATTTCATGTTATCAGGTATACCATGCGCAAGACACAAAGTGGAACCAGTGTATACGCTATCACCCTACAGTGGCCCATGGGCAACACACTAGAACTAGGTGGCGTAACACCTACAGATCAACTAAACGTGTCACTATTGGGACTCCATCTCGCTCTAAACTGGCACGCAAGCTCCAAGGGTGGTATATTCATAGAGATCCCTCCTATTACTGTCAATGAGATGCCATGTGAATGGGCTTGGGTGTTCCGTCTAGATGGACTAAAATGAGCAAACACATGTGATGCAAATGTTGTGTGTTATGGTGCTTCTATATATATTCCCAATGTATCGTCATATTTCCCGATCCGATGATACTCATCTGATCACGTGTTTCTGTTTTCGAACTATCAATAAATTATACTCATAGAACGTCTTTTTATATTGAGGTGCATCTCGAAAGACATTGCACACATGTCTAGCAACGTGAAAATTGTACAATAATTAGAAATTAGACTTTGCAATATCAAAATAACCATAGTGCTTTCCTAAACCGCAGGTAATTATCTCCATCATCTTGATTTATTAACAAGTTTTCGGTTGCTGTGTCATAACCACCTAGGACTTTTAGTACTTTCTCTCGAGCACCAGCCTTAATATTGTTAAAATGAATTTATAGTGAAATTTCAAAATGTACATTATTTAAAGACACGGGATATAAGAGGTATTAATATGTAACATAAGCCTACGAACAGGGTGGTAAGTTGGTAACGTCTAATTTTGATGAAGAGTGGTGCATGAACACGAACATCAGTTCTGACGTCGCGAACTACATTCCTTGCTCGCGAGTGGAGAAATATGTTCGGGAGCGAGGAAATAGTGGTGTGCGACTAAAGATTTTAAGTCCGCGATGTGAGAATCGTGGTTCGAGTGCAGAACTGATGTTTGGGTTGATGTAAGTCTAGGAGGCCTGAAAAAGCCGCTTTCAGTCCGTGTAATGGCGTAATGAATCATCCAAGGAATCCTGTTTAAAGCCAGTTCAGAGTCACATAGAGAAAAAATGTTTTAGTCGTTATAGACTATCGGATATTTATAAGAAGCCTTCCTATAAATGCTGTCGAACGTTATATTGCTACAAAATACGATCTTTGGAAGTGTAGGACGTATGTGGAAGCCCAACTGTTCTGGGCTACCCAAGTGTTCGGACTCTTGCCCAACTGTTCTGACAACCCAAGTGTTCCGAGATCGCTTATTTTATCATATCTCATAATTCACAAGAGATGGTTCAAAAAATAAAATGTTGCTGGAAAAATGCTAGGATGAAAAAAGAGAGTCCTAAAATGTTGGCTCGTTGAGAGTTTTGACCCAATTTTTAAAAATATGGACCCAATTTTTAAATCTAGGCCCATTTTTCTAAAGGCCCATTTCCAAATATGAGGTATGTTCCTGAAATTGAGCACTGGCGGATTAGGGGGGGGGGGGGGCTGGGGGCCCGGCCAAATTTTTTTTTGGGCCAAACAAGGCCTTCAGGCCCCAAAAAGTGGGCCTTTTTGGTCATTACTGGGCCTTTTAAGGCCTTGTTTTTTAATTTCAGGCCAAATTTTGAAGAAAATGGGCCTCAAATTTTCAAAATTTGGGCCCACTTTTGGATTTTAGGGGCCCAAAATTTTTTCTCTGACCTGAAATTTGGGCCCCCCCCTTGTTGGTGTCTAGATCCGCCCCTGTTGAGACCCAGCCTAATTATATTGATATATTCTGTCTAAATATTCTATTGCTCAGGAGTGTCCCATGGTGCAAAAGTCGAACAACCGGGGATTTTACATTCCCCGATGGGTACCCTGTTAGTTTATATGAATAAATGGAAAGCCCTTTGTGAACGAGGCAGCCACATTATAAGTGGTTTCAGTAGCTTAATTTCAACAGTCGTCTCTGTAGAAACCTAAAATGGATATCAGAAATTGAAAATCACCGTATCGAGTGTATTTGATAAAATAGGTAAACCCAGAATACTTGGGCCAAGTCAGAATACTTCGGCAAGAGTCGGAATACTTGGGTAGCCCAGAACACTTGGAGCTTCACAGACGTATGTGGAAATCCAACTATTCTGACAATCCAAGTATTCCGAGTTCACTTGTTTTATAAAGTGTGAAAATCTCAAGGGAGGGTACCGCGAAGAATAATATTGCGCGGGGAATTGTTTTGCCCATTTATGGAAATCTATTCACACCTTTTGAAAGGTAGACCCAACTTGAAAATAATGATAAATTATCTTTCAATATTATAATTCTTTCCTTTACAAAAATTAGACGTTCCCATTCCATTATAAAAGGTATTACATGTGTTAGTGTCGTTATGGCAGAGTTTATCACAATTGATTCTCTTACCAAAGAAAACCCTAAACAAAAGATAATAATCAAAGCAAATTTAAGTTATTTTATAGTCAAGTCACTGAAATCAGTAATGGGTCCGAAAGTTCACCCAAATATATACTTTTAGATTTTTGGCATCTAGACTAATATGACATTCTAAAATAAATATTTTGATCCCTTCATTCTAGGGTTCCATTTACGCCCATTTTATATACAGGGATTCTGTTGTTAGCTCACATGGTGAGCTATTGCAATCACTCACTTGTCCGTCTGTCTGTCTGTCTGTCCGTCTGTCCGTTTGTCTGTCTTCCCGTCTGCCCGTCCGTCAGAAACTCCCCTATGGCCCATGGTTCAAAAGCTCGCCTGTTTTCAAAATGGTCGCCATTTTTTCTCGCGTAATTCACTTTTTGCCTATTTCCTAGCTTTACAAGTAATTTCAGGTGTCCTGCATTGTAAAAGGCCATGTCACTGTAAAAAGTAGTTGTTTGAAATAATTTTGTGACAAAAGTGGGCAAAAAATTAAATCCGTTCTTTTATTTTCAGTCATTTTAGTTAACATTGATTTGTCCATCTGTCGCGCGAAATCCACCTTTGGACCATTTACCTTAAAACCTCTGTTTTTTACAAAAAATCGGCACAAAATGATATCAATTTTTTTTATTTTCTGCAATTTTAGCCATCATTCACTTTAGAGCAACACCATGTGACCCCAGTACCCACGGTACTATTTATTCCTATTAGAAATGGAAGTTGCATTGCAAATATTGGCCTCAATAATAAACCAAAAAAAACGGCGAGTGGAAGGAAATACTTTCCACAGATGGCCACAGATGTATCTTGTAGGATTTCGGTAATACGTCTTAGCGCAAACCTGCTGACGTTTAACATGTTCTCTAACTCAAGTTTGCACCAAGATGCATCAAGGTATGAGGAAATAATCTTGCTCAAGCCCTCGTGACACACGTTGTTAAAGTAGATAGTCCAGGGTCTTGAAGCAAGACTAAGAAACACGTGACCATGACTTGTTAGTAGCAATTTGATAACAGTATCCAGCCCCATAACGTAATTGGAATATATAACAATCATGAATTCATGATAAAGATTGGATGCTTATCATTGTATGTTTATTACACCTCTAATAATGGAAGAAGTTTACGAACTAAGACGTGACTGAAATTGGTTGGATACTTGCAAATATACATGCAATGTTTGCTCACGTATGGCTAATTATATCTTTGATTACATTTTTCATATATTATAGTTAAAGTGGCAGCAACGTAGAACGTGTATAGAATGCTAGAGGCAATCGTTTAGAAAGCATACCACTAAAAACACCCGCGAAAGAAAAATTGAGATTAATAATGAAGCTCTGTCGTTATTGAAGACGTAAAAATGTGGAAATCTTCAAACTTATCAGAGACGATTACTTTTTCAAATATTAATTCAACATTTTCTTGGACTTAAAGAAAATAAGGGTGGCAAGAAATGCTGTGATTAAACATTACTCTCAACTGTCTCTGTTCTTTGTCGCCCCTTTAATCAAGTCAATTATCCTTTGCGTTCTAAATGTCGGCACTTTATATGTGGACGCTGAGATAATTATTATCCATAGCGATAGAAATGGTTATACGAAATATTACATCGACGCAAACGTAATAGACTATAAGGAGAGGACGTTTTCATAAATTCCTGTACATTAATATCAGGGTTAGGAAGTGTTGTCGAGGTGACAATGTCTGGATTAAGTACAGCAGCTTTGGGATTAGTTTATTCCATCTTTGGTATGTATCTGAATTAGCAAAGTGTTAACTTGTTAAGGTTTAGTGTAAATCAACCACTTTGAGCTTGCTTTGAATAAACAGAACATAAAAACAAAGCATTGCGTGATCCATTAAATGTAGTACCATGTGAAGAAGCAATATTTTTTGGTCTGTGGTTGGTCGTTTATTTGTTTGAAATATTTCGTTGTCAATCATTAAAGTTCAATGCGTTTATATTTCTCAGTCAATGAAGGTTAGATCTTAGTTTTAGTATAACAGCCCTGTGAAGGTGATGTTCCAATGGTATGTTGAATGTTTGACAAGCTAACTAACACCAAACAAAAAAATCATAAACGAATGGCAAGTCATATTCTTTGCAGGAATATTGGGCGTGGTGCTGAACGGGTTGGCCCTGGCAACATTCACATACTTTCAACCTCAACCAGGCACAAAGAACATTCCCCATGTTAACCTTTTACTTGCTAGTTTCGGCGTCTCACTGTCGTGTGTATTACCTGGATTGGCATCTTTTTCCGGAAGGTAATATACTTGAAGGTATATCAATGCATATTTGTATGGTAGATGCACAATGGACTTTTTCTGTTGTTCTTTTAATTTGATTAAAGAAGATTAATTCAAGAAGTGTACACATAGATATTTAGAAGTGTATCTTTAGACGTGTGCCCATAGTTTATTCATATACTATCTCCCTTCCAATCTAAATATAGAGGGAACTTTTATATTAGTGAATACGTTGATGTATTCCCAAAATCCTATTTTTTTCATTTTCCCCCAATGAGCGATTACTAAAAGAGGCGGATATTTTATACAAATATATATTCATTCATTTATATAACATTTAATGAATTATTGCAGAGTGTATAAGATTGCACAATTATGTAAAAAATGATAAACGATATTTACCAAAACTGTTATTTTGTTTTCTCATTAGCTGGGGATTCAACGATATCGTATGCCAGATTCAAGGTTTCTATGGGATGCTGACAGGCATGATGGTCATATATGCAGTTGCAATGCTTGCTGGAGAGAGATACGTTGTCTTTAAGGGTTGGTATGATTCTTACAAAACCACTGGCAGGCCAAAATATGGCATTTATTTACATTACCAAATACTATCCTTTCTGGGATTGAGCACGCCTAATCATCGATAACGTACAGTGACAAAACATACGGGTGTACACTTTAGCTGTACATTGTCCTGGAATTACCTGGAAAAACATAACATCATGACAACGTACAGCTAAAGTTTACACTAATATATTTTGTCACTGTACGTTGTCGATGGTTAGGCGTAAAATCGATGCAAAAATTCTGATGAAAGATTATTTTAGATAGAAGGAGGGACAGGAGATACAATGACTCTTTCCGTTAACCTTTTTCTGATTTTTGTTATATCACTGAATCACCTTGATTACGACTGACAAAATTACTGCTGATCGTGCGTGACGTGTTATATTTTAATTTGCAGGAATGTGTCCCAGTGGCGTGGCGTACTACCTGTTCACATCGCTATGTTGGTTCGCTGCCGGGTTCTGGTCATGCCTTCCCCTCATGGGATGCAGCAGGTATGTCGGCCTCTCCAAGACCAAGGGGATCATTCACAGAATCTGGCCATGGGGCCCAGGAATACGTATACGAAAATGTTTGAGAAGCCCTGAGTGTACTGAGTTGGTACTGCGTAGTGTATATAGAGATTATCCTATATGAGGTTCAGGATATTGGGATTATCCCGAGGCCAATATAATATATTTGCCCGAGGGCCGCAGGTCCCAAGGGAAAATATACTATATTGGCCAAGGGATAATCCCAATATCCCGAACCGACTATAGGATAATATGTTTATCCCATACCAATCTTGGTCATCTGGTTCACATTGTTCAATCGTGGAAATATTTTAGAATATTCATGTCCAGTTTTGTTTTCTTGGCCGTCGGCGGATTTTCCTGTTCTCTCAAATATTCCCAGATTTATTTTCTCGAATTTTTGATTGATTAAGTGGATACTCCTTCTCTTTTTTTAAACCATCAAACAGATCCCGATTGTCTATGTTTTCTCCATTGTCTTTAAAAGTCATTACGCGAACGTTACAAATTATGAACAAATATGCGAGCGGCGATTATGACGTAGCGGGCAGATATACTATATCTGCCCGCTCTGAGCGGGACGTAAAGCTATATCTGCCCGCTGATGAAAATATAAGTTTTTACAAACCGGCTTTATGTACCTATAACACGTCCAAGTATGGGATAAATATGAGTACATACTTAAACATGCATAAGACTGACAAAGATCAGACTGATGAAGATGACAGAATGGTGGAATTTTTGTCTTGGGAGATGTTAAATCTGCAAGAAGCCAATAAAATAACCAAACTGAATGACAATTTAACTTTTAATCGCATTTTGACTCCTTAAAATACATGTTTCTGTATATTTACTCCAGATATACACTGCAAAGTTCCGCCAATGATTGCATATTAGACTGGAAAGAGCAGAGTAGCATTCACTGGTCATACATATTGGCGATCAGTTGTTTCGGATTTGCTGTTCCCCTTGCAGCAACGTTTGGTGCACTGAGTAAATGCCATGCCGCAGAGGACAGTAAGGATGAGGGTTGGTTTACTGAAAGTCAACTCATAAAGGTATGCAAATACAATATAAAAATATCATTATAATATTTTAAACATTCATATATTTACTCATATATGATTAAAACATTCTACACTAGACGAAACAGTGTATCTTCTATTTGGTTATGGAATGAGCATCATGATAAACCATGACATCAACAAATATTTGAAATAACTCAATCACCCAGCACTGAGACGAGAGATTAGAAGGAAGATGAGAGCTATTACACCAGAGAAGAGATGAGGCATGTTTTGTAAAATGACTATAAAATCGCGACCATTTGGATCATGGAATACACCAATAATACTTAGTAGAAAGAAAGAACATTGCACATACATGCATAGATTGTGCCAAATATGACGTTTAGACCGATGCTGAATGTCTGAGTTATCAACATTAGTTTGGGTTACCTTTTTTTGGTTCACCCTGTACATTTTAGTATGATAATTTTACCTGCTCCCTGCTTTTAGGCTCAATAGCTTATATATCGAGTGAAATCAGACTGCTATTGGGTAAAATATTTATTAAGATGAATTGTACATGATAATTTTAGGATCTACATTGATGAAGATAAAATGATCTTATATGCAACAGGAAAGACAACAGAAGTAGAAAATGTAATTTTTCAAACTGTATAATTCATTAAAAAAATCTTTCTGGAAGCTACCGTATTGCGTATTGAGTTATATCTGTTTTAGATCTTCATTTCTCGAGTAATGTTATCAAGAAAACGCAAATCAGTTTATGAATGGCTGTTTTTAAAGGAAGAAGCGATATAGACGAGTTGTGAATAATTGTCACAATTTAAAATATTTTTTCTCAAATCATCCCATGTAATTTTTTTCTAAAAAGTCCGACGTGGGTACATTTTAGAATAACCTTTTGACGTTTTCTATTTTTATGGTGATCCTGCATAAGAAATCTTAAATAACATTTTATATTTCAATATCGGAAAAACATTGGTATGATTTTTAAAAAGATTGATTTCAACATTTTACACTAATTTCTCGATACTCTCACATCCTTAATTGAATCATGTTTGTCGATATTGGAGATATTAGATACATTATTTACATGATTAATCACTATAATTATTTGGAGCATGATTTATTGAAAAGGATACCATCACCAGATTCATAATTTTGTCACGTCTATAACTGCGAGATAAGAACTAGACGAAATTAATATTATATGTGCATCTGGTATACTGTATTCCGCTAATATTGACAGAATCACAACCCATGTACATAGGTGCGTGTATGTGAGAGCCCAAGTGTTCTGGGCTACCCAAGTGTTCTGACTCTAGCCCAACTTCGACAAGAATCGGATTACTTGGGTAGCCAAGAACACTTGGAGCTTTACATACGAGTGCAATCATAGGAACATATTTTTTCCAGATAAGCAAGTGGCAATGTTTTTTCTGCTTGGTCCAGTGGTTGCCTTTCGCCGTGCTGGTGTTCATTCCGTTGGCTATTCCTACGAGTGTCGTAGAGGCATCTGGATTGTCCCAACTGTCGATCTTCTTCGCCAAGGGACTATCTCCCGGTTACCCCGTACTGTATGTGGCTTCAAGTGGACGGTTCCGTACAGCGGCTGCATCTCTGGTCGGACTGGCGTCATCTAATCACGTCAAAGACGATTGATCGAGTACCAATATGTATCCATTTCCATGGTAACTATTGTTGCTTCGAGAGAGATATATCATGGGAATGCTTATTAGACGTACCTATATAGCCAACATTGTCCGCCAAATAGGCTAAATTGGCTACAACGATTAGCACTTATTTTTTGATATTGTAGCGGGATTTTAGCTACCGTGCAAGTTATATCTCAAAATACATTCCTTATGCCAGAATGGCTAAAATTTAATATGATAAACGAATTTGAATTTTTGATTTTAATTCTTTGATTATAGTCATGGAATGAACCTAATATCAGATCATTTCTCGTGATATTATTGTATTGCCTCGTAGATATCATATCAACATTCATTTCGCTCACTCGCCAAATTGCAACTCATCGATGAAAATGATCACTCAAAATGATCTGATATTCTGTATATATTGTATTAACTCAAACGTTTGCTATTGTAACTCAAATATATTTACGATTCATTACGCGTATAGATGGCATTCAGAACTATTATGCTAGCTACTTGATACATATTATTTAAATGGTAAATCCAAAATAAATACTGAACTAAAATGAATACATTTTCTATATCATTGTAAAATCTGTCTAATCCAAACACCACTGAGACATACAGTCACTACTCAGTTTTCAGATTAGTAGGTGTTCCGATTTCAAGGTTTCTTGATATGTGAATAGGGTAACAATTAGGACCGCTTAAAGTGTTCACATAAGAGCTGTTCGAATAAGAGAGGTATTTAGATATACATGTACCATGAGTATTGAAAAAGAATTGATAAATGTTGTAGTATAAATAGACAATTATTTGTATAATCTTATTTTCTCGATAGCTTACCTTAGAATACACCGTTGCCCTTATACTATATGCTCGTATATGGAATATTTTCTAGTTTACCATGGATTTCCTCGATTTCAGTGTCCTCTTTTAATGAATGGAGATTTTTCAAATATTTTTTGATAGATTTGTCACGAAAAATAAACCAAACACATTTCTAATTTACAATATTTTTCATTTCAAGAGTCAAAGATATTGTAACATTGCAGGCCCGTAGCCAAATATTTTCTTTCGTAAACATGCTGTTTTTTACCATTTTGAGCACTTTTCAAGTAATTTTGGACCAAAATGGTCAAATATGAACCCCTCCTGGAATTTGAGTTGAACCCCTTGGCTAAAGCCTGCATTGTGACATTTCAAACCGTTTATCAACTCGCCTCGTCGCCTTCCACTATCTTAAGTAGTTAAACATCACCAGGAATTACAAGTAAAATAGCTTTTATTTAACAAAACAAGCATCATAATGTACGTGTCATTGACCCCTGTTACACAGGCCAGTTGAAATGCTTCGTTACGAAGCAATTTGACAAAAAGCTTCGTAACGAAGCAATTTTGGGCCAGTGTAACACCTCCGCCTTCGTTGGAAAAGCTTAGTTGATAACGAAGCAATTGAGTAGAAAATTCAACGAAGGTTAGCTCCCAACGAAGCTTTTTTGGCCTGTGTAACAGGTAGCTTCGTTAGAAAATGCTTAGTTGGCGGTTTGCGCATGCGCGTAATAAAGATAACATTCATCATTTTGTATTAAATGAGACGAATCGCGAGGAAAGAACATGTTTTTAAGTACGTATTATTATAATGCTTCGTTTTGATTAAAATAATTACCTATTTGCGTCACTGATTGACGCTAACTCAAGCCCTAAACGCCACGTACAAATGTGATTTACCGTCTTTCGTAGCATTTCATTCGATTCCCTGCCTTTCCTCGCATTGATATGACAAAAAGTATTAAACTAAAAACGCAGGTTTTACCGTATATAGTTTTGAAACGTTTATCTGATCTATAGAGAATAAACCTAGAATATTTAAATGTCCCTCTTTCGGAAAACTCCGTCTCAAGTGTGGAAGGGTAAACTTTTGAAATTACATAAGATATGCTTAAACGAAATAGAAAGTTGTGGCATACATGTTTAATATAATTTTTTCTTGCGCCTCGAATAATTATACCTTGAATCACTGTTCCACAACTGGATGACTCTAACTGCAGTTAGCTTCATTCAAGATGGTTGCCGAGATCATTTCGTTTTCGATAAACCTCCGATTTCGGCTAAAATAAGTTGAATCTGGATTCCAAATGTTTCGCCATGCAAATTAATAAAGCTACGATGGTAAATAGCCACAAATAAATGCTCAAACAACCGCGATATTGGAGAATTTTAAAGAAAACGGCTTCACTTAGAATGACTCTAACTGAAGTTGATGATGACGTCATGATGGCGTATATCATCAACTTCAGTTAGAGTCATTCTAAGTGAAGTCGTTTTCTTTAAAATTCTCTAATATTATGGGTGTTAGAGCATTCATTTGTGGTTGAATACAATCATAGTTTTATTAATTTGCATGGCGAAACTTTTGGAATCAAGATTTAACTTAGTTTAGCTGAAATCGGAGGTTAATCGAAAACGAAAGAATCTCGGCAACCATCTTGAATGAAGCTAACTGCAGTTAGAGTCATCCAGTTGTGGAACAGTGTTGAATGTAATTCTAAAATATTAATACCATGATACTGATACAATTGCTTCCCGGTGAACCCGGCCGGTGAATCACATCAGGGAATATAGCCGATTTGATTGATTCGAAAATGTCTCTCTTCAGAAATCGTATTCAACTGGCTATCGCCCCATTGAAATACGTGTACTTGTACTAGTCGTTCCATTATTTTATTCTTCGACTAATTTAAATTGTAATTGAATTTAAACTTCATGTTGAAATATATTGAATTAATTACGTTTCAAAACTTCCGTATACAAATACAGTAAAACCTGCGGACAAGGAACGGTGGCCAACTTGAATTGTTTCTTGTCGACAGATATTTGCCACAGAGAGGCTGCATGTTTTAGGCCAGCCCCAAACACTATTGATGTGTCGTAAGACGATGCTTACAAGTGATATTCAAGTTTCTTCCTATTTGCGCCATTTTCGAATTCAAACTCACTCAAATATGCATGGAGTATTGGCGAGACGGGTAATATTCATATTAAAATGAATTGGTCATGAAATAGTAGTTACACGCGGTCCTAACTTCGACCGTTAATTTGAATTTTTGACCTACCGGATGTTTGAAAATCAAGGATTACGAGTCTCATACTGCACCATTTTTCTTCAAACTTGTTCCATGCAAAGCATAACAAAAATCCCTTTCTGATGGTACATTATTCTCTGAAACAGAGTCCCTACTTCCAGCGGCATTTTGGTCCCCAGCTGTAAGAAGGCCTTCTAACAGCTGGGGACCAAAACGCTGCTAGAACGAGGGACTCTTTACAATAAAGTAATGCACCGACAGAAAGGCAATTTTGTTTTGCTTTTAATGGTATAGGTTTGAAGAAAAACGGTGCAGTATGAGACTCGCAATCCTTGATTTTCAAGCATCTGGTAGGTCGAAAATTCAAATTAACGATCGAAGTTAGGACCGCGTGAGTTAAACCACCAGCCGATCACCGAGATATTTTAGTAATGGCTACACTATTTGAAATATAACTGAGAAGTCCATTTGGAAATTGAACGTTTTTATACGATATTACATACTAGTCGTCTGTATAAACCCCAAATCCAATTCCTCCTAGTAATTAACATAGGCCTATTTTTATTCCATATGTTTTCCAAAGGAAATGATAAAAAATGAAAATAATACTTGTAATCGTATTGACAGCTGAAATATATAAAAATCGAAATGATAGGAAAAATGTATGGACATGTGTACGGAATGATCACATTCATCTTGTTTTATTTTCCCGAGAATTTTGAACTAGTCTTTTTCTGTGCTGACTTGTTAAAATAAAGATTAAAAATTAGATTTTTGAGTTTGATCAATGGTTTATATCAAAAGAATAAAAATATTAATCATAATAAGTGGATGGGGCAGATGAGTAATGCGCACGCGCAACGAAGCATTTTAAGTGCAGTGTAACACCAAATAATTGCTTCGTTAGGGTTGGAAAAAGCCAGTGTGGACACAATTTTTTCGCTAACCTTCGTTACAAAAATGCTTCGTTAGACTCAACCCAGCAGTGTAACAGGTACCATTTTTAAACTAAGTAATTGAAACCATGATAGAGTTCAGAAGAGTGTCTATAACATAACATAATTTCATTATACTCGTGAAGTTTGAACCATTTCTTTTTATCTTAATATATTGTCCTTTTAGAAACTGTCCATTCCGGAAGATAAATGTCAAATATAGTATATGTTGTTTAAGCGTTCCAAGTCTAACATCAGTGCATCTAAATTTGTTTCTTCATTACCTCGATGAACTCTGGAAATACATAAAATACGATTTAGTATTCACTATAGTTTAGTCGATAAGGCACCCGAGACTACATTAGTACAGTTTGGACCATAAATAAATGAATCATGGATCTGTGGAGGCCATACATCAGTGTACGAAAGTATACAAAATGTAAAATATACAAAGGATAAGTCGTGCAGGAGACTAAAGAACCTCGTTCTCCAAACCGAGACTGGTCTTTTTAGGTGATTTGTATCTAGAAAATATTGGAAACTATGGGCTCTCAAATCACTATGGTTTGGAAATGGTGATAGAAAATCGACTACTCATTTATTTATGATCCAAACTGTATGATACATGATGTCATGAAATGTCAAACAATCAGATATCCAAATCAAATTGCTAACTAGTAGCCCAATTCTAACTGCATTGACTCCCGAAGAAAAGGCTTATTATATGTTTTATGCTGAGGGTAACATGTGTATCACCTTTGAAAAATACCTTTATAAAATTTCTAAAGTGTTTACCCAATGACATCTTGCATTTATATTACATTCACTGGGATGGTGAGGAGTGTACCATTGTCTGAAAGGAGTTTGCAGCAGCAACAATGAAATAAAATGAACATCGCTGTTTTCATTAAGAAATAGAATGGAAAAATGGGTCAGTAATTCCTAAAAGGATGAATCAAAGTTCAATGATTTATATCACTGTAGTGGGTACAACTATAAATCCATACAACAATATAAAAATATACATGTAGGCTAATAGTAGTGATTGGTATATATCTAAAATTTGATTGTATGTTATTGTAATTTTATGTATAGTTTTATTTTATCATGTTTATTTGCTGTACACTTACCCGAACGGGATTTTTAGTACAATAAAGCATTGAATATATAATAGGTATAATAAAGTCTTAACGCGTTTGTTCCCAAGGGGCAAATGGTACGTAGTGTAGTCTCTTGGAATCAAGATGCCAAAACCGGTCCTACATGTTTCAATGAGAAATGTTTCACGCTGATTAATTTTGTTTCCAGTCTAACAGTTTCATTGAAAATACTTTGCCATTGTTAATACTTTATCTTATTACCAAAGAAATACATGCTCGTGTCACGAAAATTGGAACTCGGTCACCAGTAATGTTACTCTAATAGATTGCACTTCAGCTGTTTTTCATTGCACTTTGCATCAAACAAAAATGATCTACATAAAATGTTAGATAACAATGACATTTATAATTTTAAATAACTTGTCACTGGCATGACATTTACTGCAACTTAACTAATAAACAAACATTGATAACCTATTTGGAAAAATCTCAAAAGAAAGTATCTTTTTAAAATAGAAATTGAAGGAGGCTTTTGAAATCTGAGGGCATAGGACATATGCCCACTCCAGATACTGAAAACTCGGCAACTATGATATTCATTTATCCCTTCGATATGCCATATACATGATATATACTTACCATGATCGGATTTAAACTCATATACGATCCCTCTCATGAAATAACCCGTGTAAAACGTACTCACCATCATATTGGATCTTTCCGTCTTTATTTTTGTCACAGGCTTCGAGGATTGCATCCACGTCGGTGCCTTTCTGGCCCATCTTTCCAATGACGAAGCCGAGGTCTTCACGGGAAAGCTCTCCTGTGCCAGAACGGTCAAAGATGTTAAAAGCGGCAGAGAAGTCCTTGTCTGCGTCACGGAGTCCTGGGTATTCGCTGATGTAGTCAGCGAACGCTTGGAAACTGATACCAGACGCTGAAAAATATGAAGAAGTACTTAATTAGCTCATGTGGTCAAGCTGACACTCACAGACCAAAACATATATGATCTTTATTTCGGTATAGGGTATATAGAAAATTACGTGTACCATGGCAATCAACCAAGACAACCACGGACCATATTTCCAAACATAAAGATGCCACCCTGCAACCATGGAAAAGTTTAATTAGTATTTCGATAATTGGAGCAAGTCAGAGAGATCAATGAAGAGACAACTATAAACATTTTCGAATTGATCCCAAGAAAAACTACCAAAGCCAATTAACAATGCCAGTAAACCAATTGACAATACCCGTAAACATTCTAAACAGAAATATGATACACTAATATACTCCACTGCCGCATACAAATCCAAGTTCTATCAAGGAGTAAGCCACGAGAGTTCAAGTAATACAAAACCTTCTATTAAAATTCGTACTTACATTCAACGCTGATGGAGTCAATCATCTGTTGAAGCTCGCCATCAGTTGGGAAGATATCTCTACGACTGAGGATGGCTCTCAACTCCTGCTTGCCAAGCACGTTGTTCCTCTGGTAGCTGTTGAAGAATTTCAACAAACCTAAAGATAAAATCAAATTATGTATGCATTGTTATCTACCTGGGGTCCGTTTTTGGAAGGATCGTAACTTAGGATACCTAGAAAACCATTGTCCGAGAACTGAGAGCTGAGAACATACATACTACAACAATATCGAACACTTATATTAGAAATGAATGCGCTACACACCCTGCAGTTGGTACAATTTATTCTAAATGGTTATAGACACATGAGTTCCTCATTAGCATTGTCGTATGGTGTAGTAATCGTCAACGAAACTGTTTATAATTAATTTAATATGATTTATATTTCACTTACCAAGGTACTGGGCGCCGGAAACGTTGTAAAGAGGCTGCAAAATAAGAACAAAAAACTAGTACCACCCCCTTCCGTTGAACAATTTATGATACAAACAAACGCTCGTGAGATATATAAGGGTTATGTACTGGGAGGTTTTGGATACAGGTTTTATCCCAAGGGAAATATGTGTATATCCCGAGGGACTGCAGGGGTCCGAAGGATATACACATATTTCCCGAGGGATAAACCCTGTATCCAAAACCGACCGTACATAACAGATGCATTTCATACCTACATGTACTGATGTTCTAGGTACGTCATATACCTTATAAAGTTCCAAAATTCAAAAATATACTTAAGATACGCATTTTCTTGGTGTTATAAAGTGTTTTTTAAGTTTCCTCAGTAGGTATGAAATACACAAGTGTATCTCATACTTGAGTGGGTTTGGGGGAGATATCACCCGGGAATATATATCATATCTGAGGAGAGGGCCGGATATATTGTATTTATCCCATGGTTGCAAGGATATAGATCGAATATCACACGAAGATATATTTGATATGTGGATCAAGATATCATATTTTAGCAAAAAAATCACAAACCATCGAATATCACTTTTAAACTATCGAATATCACGTCTTAAAAAGTGATATTCGATGGTTTGAACAGTGATATTCGATGGTTTGAAAAGTGATATTCGATCGTTTCGAATTTTTTCAAAAAAATTCTTTTTACACTTTTTAATTATTTTCAAAAAATTAAATTTTTTCTCAAATCATATTTTTCAACTTTTTTTCGCTGATGATAATTTACCATGGGATAAACGGACAATCCTATGGTTTTTCAAAAATAGCAATTATATCCACTCGTGGATACTAATATCTTCACTCATTCGCTGCGCTCACTCATGAAGATATCAATATCCACTCATGGATATAAATGATATTTTTTCAAAACCATAGGATATTCCTATAATGTCCCGCTCCAGGCCAAATGCGGGCAGATATGATAAATCCATCCCGCTCCCGCTTTTTAAAATGTTTAAGTTTAAATGTTACAATTTCATTGTATTGAACTAAAGGAATATTACGAAAATGTTATATATAAATTGTGCTTTTACAGTATAGGCCTATCTTGTCATTTGAAAAAGGCGGAACCCAAAACCAACTCGAAAGTATGAGATACATCAGTTATGTACGGTCGGTTTTGGATATAGTGTATATCCCTCGGGAAATATTAAGTCCATTCGATCCCTCGGGGAGATATTAATATATCCCTCAGGATATACCTTATATCCAAACCCTCTCAGTACATAACCCTTATATATTTGAAAATATAATTTGAATGTTTACTGGTTTGTCAAATACAAAATTTTCAAGTAGCATGACCCCAGCTGATTGCAATTTAACACACCATCTTAAAAGCTTAGGCATCATATATTTTATTTTCTCTGTCTCTATACTTATTAATCCTGAACTAAAATAGTTTTATTTTCATTGATTCTGAATAGAACTATGAATTGAAATTAATATATTGCAAACTTACCATGATATGTTATTTGCGTTTACTTCTAGGTGTTGCGACTCTAATGACTGATGCAAAATAAGTCACAAGCTATACCAGGACGGACTGCTTTGAAAACGTTGGACTATTTTCTTTGCTCATGTGTATTTGGCGTAATTCGGTGAACACACCTCCTTGGTAGGTTTAAAGCTACCAAGCTATGTCACGCCACGTCAACTGATTATTAGATAGCGTTTTAAAATGTGACGCGTCTGTCTAGTTTAGCGGTGGGTGACAAGTAACAACAAATACATTTGTAACTTTAAAAGCTTTTGAGAAAACTTTATTCAACTGATTAGCGATTTCACGCATGTTACACATTAGCAGTGAACCACTTATGTGATAATCTTGCAAAATACCATCATTTGGATATAAAGTTTCTAATAATCATAACGAAATCAGTTAATTACATCTTCATCACAATTATATTTGCACAAGGAATCACCCAGTTTCTTTCTTAAAAACAATATATTGTAAGAATTGAGGACCTACTATTTGATAGGTCAGGCGCCAAGCCAGCGGACAAACGCAAGGCTAGCGCGTTATCTCCCGGGACTTATCTGAACTTTTTTAACTACATGTACTTCTACTCCATGACCTAGTTACATTCTAGGGTGAAACCAACATTTTGAGGTTTTAAGCTAAATGTATTAACCTACTACAAACTAGACATGTTGGAAGAGGAGATAAATGGGATCCTCTAAACGATATACTTTCGATGACTGATTGTCCTTGATAATTTACCATACAATTGACAATACAACCTGTATGCATCCATTTCGATATATTTGATTCTATAAACATGTGACTAATATGTAGCTGTTCTTGACCTAAATAAATATGTATTAAAAAAAAGTACAAATAATGACATTTAGCACTGTGAATTAAAATTCAACACGTTTGAAATTAGAGTTGAATTATTTTATTTCCGGTTGATATAACGTCTTAGCGTTAGTGAAATCGAACGCGATTTCAACTGATTGGATAACATGATGTGATCATGAGTAGGTTAGGTGAGTGGATGCACGATGGGATCGTGTTATTCTGCGAGTAGCAACCGAAGCGTTTATACACAGTTTTAGCATGATGCGTCTATTTTTGGTGCATTCGGTCTTTATCATTTAGCCCTTGTTATATGCTTATATTGATACCTATATACGATGAACAGAGGATGCATGTACTGCAATACCGTCAATGTGTTTCTACATTGGATTGATACTCATCTTTCGTGCTGATGCAGTAAGAAAACGCCAACGATTTGGCAAGGGTAAGAAGTAGTTTATTTTGAAACAAGTAATCTTTTGCAATTTCGTAAGGTTTAGAAAAGATAGAAAAGATTGTTGGACCATTTATGAAAATGCTCTGCATAAACGATTTAAACGATTTTATACATGTTAACCCGAAAAGTGACCATGTGATCGTTTGAGTTCCAGTAACATCGAAAGATGCGACGCTACCCGAGAGGTGCGCTGGTGCATGAGAAGAAGTAACGCTGAGGGCCAATGTTTGGATTGTGAGTAACGCTAAACAAGGAGGGTTCAGCTATCGCAATGAATAAGATAAGTAGTTGTTAACAGATTTGCTTAGTATATCAAATATCCTTTTTAATGTAAGGATACTGGGTTTGTAAGTTTTGCTAAACATATTTAGATTGGTAATAGGTGCAGGAGCACTAAAGATTGCAAGATCTATCGTTCAGTCACGGGCAAGACGCCACACTGCTACATACGTTGGATATTTGTAACTTGACTGTCAAAATGTTCATGTTTTTGCAATCTTTCAGATATTTAGGTAACGACGCAAACTGGTACGTTTTCCGATGATTTGTATAAACTGCATTTTAGCTGTTTTTAGGGAGATGGGATCCATACAAACAAACATCCTATTTAGATGTGGCAGCTTTTAAACCGGAGTTACGGTTTTAGGATTGTTAAGTTGTTTCAGACATGGTATTAGCAAGGTGCAAATATGCTCCCTCAGTTTTGCAAAAAACAGCATTGGGCAAAGATTTTTAAAATGATATTTTATAGCAAACGTTTTTCAAATGAACTCTGTGTTGCGCATATACAGAGATAGATATTACAATTATAGTTTTTGTATTAAGTTGTGCAACGTAAGCATTTTAATGTTGTAAGTCATGACAAACAACTAACGAGTTGTGTTACTGAAGAGTCATTGAATTGTTAAATGTCGTCGATTGGTGAGCCATATTGGTATACCATTTAAGTTATTAGCTAATAACGCGTATTTGTATTTAGAACAGCCATTAATTGTCGTGAATCGTTACTGGGAAGGTTGGATTCAGACATACACCTTGGATACTTCATATCCTGCAAGTGAAATTGTACACTTGTATTTTCATATCTTTTATTATCAAGAGGATACTTGGATTCGACAGATTCATAATGAATTTTTGTGAGCTACATGTTATCGCAAACTTCTTCGTTTGTTACTCAAAACATTCATTCATATTTAGAAATGATCAAAATGCCATTAAAGGGCTCTGAGAGTAATCATAACGGTCTTTTTGGTTGGGAAATGTCGTGAATCGTTGCCAGGAGGGTAGGGTTCAGGCATATGTTTTAGATATCGAATATCCGTACAAGAATAAATTGCATACTGTATAAGTTTCTATATTCAGAACTTTTCTTCTTCAAAGATGAGTTGCTTAATTATGGAGAATATTTTATTTGACTGATTCAGTTAAATAAACTGCTTGATCAAATGAGTTCTAAGAGTAGTCGTATTCAGGCTCAAACAGTTAATGTTGATAGATGCAAAAAGGTTACTAGAATATTTTTAATTTGCATGTTCATAAATAGCTTTTTTGCTTAAAATATCGAGGAGCGATATCTTTTAATACTGGTTATGTGAAATAGAAGTGAAATGCTGGTCTATAAAAGTGCATTGTATGATATCAGCATTTTAAATTTACTAATAAGGTGTTTATACCAACAGTTTGGTCTAGTATCTCTGTTTATAACATTGATGAATAGGGTGGTTATCTTTGATGGTATGTTGTGAATCGATACATGGGTAGTCGGATTCAGACATATGCTTGGTACGCATACTTTACAATAATGGTTGTATTTGCTTACTTTTCGTCTTTAACACTCTTGTTTTCGATTTGTTTGAAAATCGATCGATACTTTTCTAAAGCGATTAGAAAATTTTGAATAAATACTTAAATAGTCTGATTAGGCAGGTGAATTGATTTCCCGAATATAATCATTTAGGTTTAAAACCTGGACTATTTTTTAGAAGATAGTTGATTTGTCTTGATTCGAGACTGGGAGTAGACAGATTTGGACATTTACTTTGGTTACATTGTTAGATAAATGCATGATTATTGCATGTTGAATAGTTTATCGAAGATTAAATAAAAACTTGCGGAGTTGCTCCATACTTGAGACATTTTGAAATAAGCTGGTCCAAATGATAATTACATACTTTTCTAGAGTTTACTGTATATAGCATTGAGAAATCGATGTAAGATAGACAATGGTTTGAGTTTATACATTGGGTATTTTGATCCAGGTATGTTTCCTGGATGATCCATGTTTTTGCAAACATTGATGTTTATAATTTATTACTGCATATAATTTTGGTTAAAATTGAGCAAGTTATTTGAAAGATGATAAAATCTTTAAGAAGACAGATGAAATGCCAAGAAACTATTTTAATCTAGCATATTCACGGATGTATTTAGAATGCAGAGCGAAGTTGAAATATTACATTTTTAGATTTTAAAGAATCAAACGAATTGTTGTGAATTGATTTTTGAAGTTGTCAATTCAGATAGACTACGTGATCGTTATGTTTTACCTGCAGCGACAAGAAATACACTTGGTAAAATTACATATTTGAACTCTGACTGAGGATTGTTATTATGTTTGGCATTATAGCCATTACGTTGAGTAGTTGTTCTGTTGAATAAAAATTGTTGTCATGCTTGACATTTTAGCCATGACGTCGAATAGTAGTTAATATGGTTTTAAGATGATAGTTGTGTTCCTAACAACATTCATGATATTAGTGTGACGAACACATTAGAGAAGTGTTCGTCAGCTAATTGCATTCTATATTGAACATGTTTGGCATTATGGCCATTACGTTGAGTAGTTGTTCTGTTAAAGCACAGTTGGCACTCCGACATAAAAATTGTTATCATGTTTGGCATAATTACCAGAACGTCGAATAGTTGTTCTGTTGAAGTACAGTTGGAACTCCGACGTAAAAATTGTTGTCATGTTTGGCATTATTTCCAGTGCGTCGAATAGTTGTTCTGTTGTAGTACAGTTGGATTGTTATCATGTTTGGCATTGTAGCCATTACGTCGAGCAGTTGTTCTGATGCAGTACAGTTCGAACTCTGACGTAAAAGTCTATTTGTATCGTGGGTTGACGGATTCATATAATGCGTCGAACGCAGGTACAATTTAGCAACCTGAAAAGGGGTTAGTCGCTTGGAGCGACAATGCGATATTTGCATGTTTTTAATGCTAGTTCTGTGTATTTTCAGGAAATACAACCCATAGTAGGGTATGGACACACGCCTAAATGAACACTGGAACACAAGTCGTCCTTATAAGATAGATACAAGTGTGATATAAATAAGATGCTTTGGACTGATTCAAGAAGACTACTTGGTTGGATTGAGATCCATATAAGACAGATACAAGAAATCCAACCCATAGTAGGATATGGACACAAGCCTAAGTGAACTCTGGAACACATTTTGTCCATACAAGATAGATACAAGCGTGATATAGGTTAGATGCTTTGAGCTGATTAATTGAAGACTTTACTTTGTTGGATTGAGATCCATATAAGATAGATACATGTACATGTACGTGTGATACAGAGAAGATGCCTTGGACTGATTCAAGGAAGACTACCTTTGTTGGAAGTCTCAAGGAAGAGACAGTTCGAGCTTTGGACACTAGTTTGCCCGTTTTTTAGGAGGTTCTGGCGTAGCTGCTGGCTCGAATTTAATCCTATAATATATGTGATATTATGTTGTGTGGTTTGTGGTGAAGACTGTT